ACATTAACAGGAAGCCATCATGATCATGACATCATGATTTATATATTGATTTCAGTGCCTCAGCATCTCCATCTTATCTTAATGACCTTGTAGTACCATATCACCCTATTAGAGCACTTCGCTCTCGCTCTGCAGGCCTACTTGTTGTTCCTAGAGTATTTAAAAGTAGAATGGGAGGCAGAGCCTTCAGTTTTCAGGCCCCTCTTCTGTGGAACCAGCTTCCAGTTTGGATTCAGGAGACAGACACTATCTCTACTTTCAAGATCAGGCTTATTTCAATTCAGTCTATTTGTCACAAAACAGACAGCAGTCACTTGAAGGTGCTTATGTTGTAAAGTAAGAACCCTCCAATAATACAGAGAAACCCCAACAATCACACGATGATCAAGAACGTTGGTGACAGCGGGAAGGAAAAACTCTGCTTTAACAAGAAGACATCGATCAGTTTATGATGATCAAAGGATCTGATTGGAAGAACAGGTGAGGCTGTGTGTGTGTGTGTGTGTTTACGTCAATGGAGCAGCCAAGCAGCGATCCAAGCTTCAGGGCTTTCCTGATGATGTGGAACAGGAAGGGCAGGGCTTCCTTCTGGTCGTAACTCTGCGATGCTGCCGGTAAAATCCTCGAAGCCCTCGATGCTCAGGCCGCCACTCAGGGCCTCGTAAGAGCTGCTCACCCTGCAGACAGAGAGGGCGGAGGCTATGCAAACACCTGCAAACTGCACCCGTGTGCTCCACCTTGGCGGTCTGCGTGGTGGTTTCTGTTTGCAGGGGTCCCAGAAAGATGAAGATGAGTTTCACCTTCCAGCACAACGACGACAGAAGGTTGTGTCCAGCTGAGATGCTGCGAGGAACCAGCAGAGGGCGCTGTCACACTGACTGAGTGCTGCTGAGGGAGAGTCTGACAGGCTCTGACACAAAAACTCTCAAAGCTTCACTTTGAGGGTCCTTCAGAGTTTCTGTTTCACTTCATCTATTTGTTTATCTCATCTACGTGCGCTGCAGACGTTCTACAGTCTAAAGACACAGCCTCTCATCTAATGTTTTTCTTTATTTTCATGATTCTCACTGAGGCATCAGAACTATGAATGAACACTTTATGTAGGAAATAAAAAGTGTGAAATAACTCCAAACATGTTTTATATTGTTGATGCTGTAGAGTCACCACCCTTTGCTTGGTTGTTGATGTGCGATTATCCAGGTGCAGAAATCCCAAAAGTTTCTGTTCATCTGGATGTTTCAGCATCGTCAGCTGACTGCAGGTTTACAACCTTATAAACAGGAAGTAAAGACTGAAACCCGCCCACTGTGTGAACAATGGGCTGTGAGGTCAGTTTCTTGATCATTAAAATTGCAGATTGTCATTGATCAACAGTCACTGATGGTCAAGACATTTGTCAAAGCTGGGAAAGCTGCAGCTGATCCAGGAGAGAAGGACAACCGCTGCCCAAGAGATCCCGTACGTGTCAGGAGTATCCTAACAGCGGAGATGTATTTTTTCTAAACACCAGGTCTCTGTGGCTTTTAAACCCCAAAACAAAAAAACTGGTCCACCCCAAGGATCGGGTCTTCCAACACCAACAGAGTAATGTACGCTGTTAAGTGCAGGATTTATTCACACAGTGATGATGGACTCTTTTTTCTCTTTAATCAGCTGATTGGTTCCTCCCATGAGATGAAGTCTGTTGTCAAACAGGCCGTCAGCCCAACTCCACCAACGAACCCTGACAGGCTCACCTGTGAGCTGAAGCCACGTCAGGTGACGACATCATGAAGCTCACTGAGAGGTTTGCAGCGCTGTGGACAAATCAGAGGGTGGAAGCTAAAATATAAACACATGTATCTATTCTTTCTTTGCTACATGTTGCTTCATATATTTGATGTCTTCAGTATCAACGCTGTCGAATGTCGTAGAAATAAGTGAGAAGCTGTGTCCAGAGCTTTGACTGGTATCTCCACTGTCTCTCTGAATATCAGAACTTATGAATTCAGAGCTTCTGTTCTCCACAGAGGAGGACGAGGAGCTGAGAGCAGGATGAAGGAGCAGAGAAGCTCAGGACCAAATATCATTTATAAACAATGACCAGAGGAACTACAGCAGAGCCTCTAAAATAAGAGCCCAGTTATGAAGCGCTTTGAGTGTGTTGGAGGTCGGCGAGCTTTAGAAATCACTGATTGTGCAGCTCTGTTTGCTTTCCGGGCCGGGCGGCGCTCCGTGTTTACTGAGTAAATGCCTCCACCCACCTCCTGCTGTCAGAGAGATGCAGTCACAATAAACAGCTGCTTAAATACGGCATTAATCACATATGGAGGTCTGGACAGCTGATGAGAAACGACTGATGTGAAATTTTCCTCGTGCAGAAGCCCGAGGAGCGACTCAGACGAGCAGGAACGGCTCCTGTCACCTGTTTTTATTTTACGCGGTATTTTAAATTCGTGCTCAGAACTGACGTCACTGAGAAGGTCAGCTCACGTCGTTACTCTGCACGCTGTTGAAAGACAGCAGCTGAAGCCCTGTTATCACCTGTGCAGCAGCTCGGCTGCTCGTTATCTCATTAATGTTTAACGGCTGGAGCCGCCCTCTTCCTCCACACAGCAGCTCGTTTGTTTTCTCTCTGATGTCTGAGCCGCTCGGTCTAAACGGCTCTTTGATAAAACGCTTCACGAAACCGAGCGAGGCGGGCCGCTGTGCAGGCCTGCTCGCGCTCTTCATGCTGATCTTGGATCTGTTAGAGGGCTCTTCCTGTTAAAAGGTCGTTCTTCCTTTCCACTGTTGCCAAACTGCTCCAGCGTGAAGCAGCGAGAGCTGTGTAAATGAAAGCGGACTGAATCTGGGTGAAGTGTGTTTACTGGTTTATTGTTGTTGTTAATAACAGGCTCAGCATCTCAGCACTGCTTAAACAAACACATGATTTCTCAGCTTCAGAGGCTCGGGAACATAAAAACTTCTACGTATTAAAGCTTTTCTCAAATATAAAACAGGAAAGAGACCTGACGCCATGACAACGCAGTAACACACAGACGCACTTCCTGTTTCCTCCACACGATCGCACAGATGTGACCGACAGGGCGCAGGAAGGACGCCCAGCCTGCAGTCTGATTCAGCGTGGAGGCAGGACCGCAGTCCGAGCTCAGTCTTCAGTGAGGCGTACGTTTAACCTGTGTTGAAGCACAGACCAGGGTCAGAGGTCAGGGGTCAGGGTGACCGAGGCGTCAGAGGGTGAAGTCTCTGTCATGGCAGACATTTCTGATGGCTGATCAGAGAACTGCCCAACGGTAATCATTGCACGTTTCACTCAGCCACGGCCGTTTCCACTCAGCGCCACTGGTTTTGGATGAGTAGCGCCGCAGCTGTATCCCAGAGAGTCCCAGTCTGCTGGAAGGGCGGGGTCACAAAACAGCGAGCCAGTCTGCACTCGGATCGCAGCTGCTCAAAGTCCTGCTGGTTAAATAGGACCGCACTGGCCCGGCTGCCGGCGCCGTCCTCCACCTGGGCCTTCCTCGAGGATGAGCCGCTGCGCTCGCCATCCTGAGGTGTGCAAGACTGGGTCTCAGGTATAAGGTAGAGGGCGGAGCTCAGAGGTGAAGGAGCAGCGTGATATCAGTTAACAGTGAATTATGTTTACACACCTGAACCTGCGACACACAGAGGTTCGGATCCATGGAGAACCGGAAGCTGCTGTCACACCTGTGACTCTCAGGAGCCCCATCGGAGCACAGACCCCCACGCCATGACATCACCTGTTTTAATCTTGACCAGCTGTTTTAACATGGGAGTGGGTGGGGAATGGCTCGCTGCTGCCTCTGCTGGACATCAGAGGAACTGCGGGGTCAGCGGCTTTTTGGCTGAAACATAAATGTGACGTTCTCTCTTTGCTTTTCTTCTCCTGTCGTTTCTTCTTCTCTTTGAAATTCAGACACGTTTTTGTAGTTTTGCCTGACGCCATCTCCATGGCGACACCCTCAAGCCATCAACCTGCTGAACTGCTAAGACATCAGACAGTATGTTGCACAATCACTGGGCACGCTGTACATGTTTATTGACATACGTCTTGTCTCAAAGTGTTACTTCATGTGCGATACTGAGGCGCTCTGAGCTGCAGAGTTTCATTGTGTCGTTTTGATGATACAGGTATGGCGATCTGACGGCGTGCTGATCTGACAGATGTGTCTATGTTACCTGGACACAGCAAATGAAACATGAACTTGAAAGCACAGGTGGCTATTGTTACATGATGATAATGCATTCACACACATTATTACACCAGAGCATCAAAACGTTTGACGAACAGCTGATTGGGAGAAATTGCCATAGAAACAGGAGACCAACAGCACCTGTGACAGGGGTTTGTGTTTTTATGGCTGATTCTGACCAATCACAGCACTTCCACTCTGATCAACACCTGTATAACCTGAGCGGATGGATCAGCGGGGGATGGAGATGCTTTGCTGAACATGATTTGCATCAGATTTGCTGTGGATGGAAATCACTGCAGTAACATGACATTTACTGATTATTAGGATCAATTAAAATGAGTTGTTTGCCTGCAGGGGGCGCTCTTCAGCTGCACTGTTCCAGGGCTGCTCCCGGTCATGCCTCTCTGAGCCTGGTTCTGCTGGAGGTTTCTTCCTGTTCAAAGGGAGTTTTTCCTTCCCACTGTCCAAAGTGCTCATAGGGGGTCATATGATTGTTGGGTTTCTCTGTATTATTATTATTATTATTATTATTATTATTATTATTATTATTGTAGGATCTACTGTACAGTATAAAGCGCCTTGAGGCGACTGCTGTTGTGATTGGGTGCTGTGTAAAACTGAAGGTGCTCAGAATGGGCGGGGCAGCAGAGCACTGATGATGATGGTGGTAAGTGTGCGTCTGTGTGTGTGTGTCTCTCTCTGTGTGCGTGATATGATGTCTTAAATACAGTAAACACGTCACGTGCTGTGCTCAGAGGGAGGTGTACGTCTGAGCGGTTGGAGGTGGGTGGAGGCTGGCAGAGGCTGTGGCTCCTCCTCTGGTTCGGGGCGCGGTCTGCGTGTTGAAAACTTTGAGCAGCAGAAGTTGTTGGAGTTTACAGCCGTGTGATCTTCCTCCTCTCCTCTTCATCATGTCCGGCGTTGCGTCCACTCTGGCCAAGAAGCGCGCTCTGGCCGCGGGCTTTGGCACCAACGCGAACGCGGTCCCGTACCTGAACCAGAACTTCACCGCGCTGCGCGCCCAGTGCCGTTCCGCGGGCAAGCTCTTCTGCGACCCGACGTTCCCCGCCGCGCCCGAGTCTCTGGGCTTCAACGAGCTGGGCCCGAGCTCCTACAAGGTCCGCGGAGTCAGCTGGAAGAGGCCCACGGTGAGAACCGGGACCGGGGGGGGGGAGGGGTGGTTGTGCCTGATGGAAAAACACACTGTTTGGTACTGAGAGAGATTTTCACAGATGATCTCACAGACCTGTGAGAGGAGCAGGCCTCCGGCAGGGACATGGAGGAGCAGAGAGGAGCTTTGCTGAATCTCTGCTCCGTTTCCTAAAATGCGTCCCTTCAATCTTAAGCATGCGCACTGAGTCACTCCCTGATGAGTCAGTGCTTGCTGCTGTAGGAGGAAGAGGAGCGGTGGGCGTGCACGCAGACAGCGAGTCCGACCAGCTGTTTCAGGTGGAGGAGCAGAGGTTAACCTGAGAGCTTCAAGTGATGGTGTGCGTGCGTGTGTGTGCGTGTGCGTGCGTGTGTTGGGAGCAGATTCAGTCTGAGGAGCAATCTGACTCTGGACACACACCCCAGCAGCTCTGTGCTCTGAGTGGGCGTGGCCCTGACCACCATCATTAACACGCTGTCTCTGGTTTGTCTTCCAGGAGCTCGTCTCTAAACCGGAGTTCATCGTGGGCGGGGCCACCAGGACTGATATCTGCCAGGGCGCACTGGGTGAGTTACTACTGTCTCTGAGCACATCTCACCCGGTCTGTGCTGCTGCCACGCCTCCTGATCTTCAAACTCATTGAACTAAAACCAATCAGAGAGCAGCGCTGGTGTGACATCACTCACAGCTTCAGTCAGCTGAATTCTCATTTTGAATCAGACTGCACAGAGGTCAGAGGTCACAGAGCTTTCAGCCATAAAAGGATCTGTGAAATGGTCAGCTGATCGATTCTGATCGACACCATTTCGTTGTCATGGAGACCTCAGCCCTTTACTCAGTAAAGCGCTGAGCTTTTCATTTCAAACTTTATTTATTCCACAAACAAACCAGAGCGCATCTCCCCGACAGCTGCGCTGTCACGCTCTTTCATGGTTTATGGCGTTTTATTATGATGTGATGATGTCAGGATGTTCTGACGTCATTGTGATGTCACAGGGTGTCATAACGAAAGAATAAAGTGTGTTGTACAGCTCTCGCTATTTATTACTCAATATGGGTTCTTACATGTTAATAACATGCTTATTAACATGTTAATGAACCTTTTTATAAACCTGTTTAATAACATGTTATTAAACAGGTTATTAAACATGTTTATTAACAGGTTATTAAACAGGTTATTAAACATGTTTAATAACATGTTTA